TATACGCCGGCAAATACGGTATATTAAAATTCACTGAAAGGATAAATTAAAAATTAGGAGTGACCGGTTAGCTCAGTTGGTTAGAGCGTGGTGCTGATAACACCAAGGTTGCCGGGTTCAATCCCCACGTGGGCCACTGTGAGCTGCACCCTCCTTAAAAAAAAAAAAAAAGCCAAGTCTGCCATTGTAGCATCAAAGCAATGTGTAACCAATGACCATGGCTGTTCCCCAATAAAAATTAAAACAAAAAAATTAATAGCAGTGATTACATGAGGCAGTGATAACTGAATAGAGAAAGTGGTAAAAAACACGTTTTGTTATCCTTTAAATATTTTTGGATGTTTGAACCTATTCAAAAAGTTAAATTATAACATATAAAAATAATTTTTTTTACATTCAAGGAAAAAATTTGGTACTATTTTAAACATAAAACAACAGAAAAAATTTACTTTCTAAACACCTTAAGTATATACCAACTTTTTAAAAATAAGCACTACGATCCCTGTGAAAAATTCAAAAGCAAATGGCATCTTCTTGCCTATTTGGTACTCAGAAGCCTGAAGGGGGTTCCTAGGGCTGCTGCAGCAGCTTTAAAACACTCCACTCTAGGAATAAAGAAGGAATCTGGCCCTTCCTTCCACAGCTGCCTCTGACTGCTCTGAGACTGTGGACTCGAGTAGGCTGACTAAACAGCCTATCAGAGTGCTATTTAAAGTGGTCACGATGAAAGAATATGGACTTTGTCAACTTGACAGAAAAACGTAACCCTCTAGGGAGGGAGGTTTGTAATGTTACTGCCCCAACCTCTCTCCTGATCTCTTCCTTTATTAAATGGGTATAGAAAACAATCAAATTTGCCTTTAGATCTCACTACCATAAGAGGGACACAGAGAGGGGGAATAAAGCGAACATCTTATATGGATGCAGTGAAATGGCTGAAACAGTATACACTCATCCTCCTGGTTCCATCTGCTTATTCTGAAGGATAACTTCTCATGGTTTATTTTAAAACACTGAATAATTCTGAGAGTAACAGTTCATAGTCAATTAATATAACTGTCTTTTGAGAAATGCAAACTGTATTATAATTTTTAAAAGAATCCGATACTATAGAAAAAATGTGAAATCCTTGTTGATAAAGAAATCACAAGCCAGGCAAAACTGACCTGCTAAAAATTACATGGAAAAATTCTACGGGTTCTGTTAAATGGGGATAATATCATTTACATCTCATAGGCTGTGAAGATTAAATGAGCTGAAGCACATAAAGGGCTTATAGTAGTGCCAGGCACATAATACAAGTTTAATGTTGGCATGTGGTTGCTTATTAACTTCCTAAAGAAAGCAGAACAAAGTTGATGATCAGAAGAAACCATTTTCCCACCAAACCCATACTTTGGCAAACGTGATGTAGAACTCCCTCTTGAGTGTACTTCTCTCCACTGTGATGATCTGGTAGAGTCCGCAGGCCAGTGACAACGCTAGGCAAATTCTTAAAATGATTAGAAGGATCCCTGCTAAGTTGTGGTGTGAATGGTAGCTATGAGGACTGGTATCTTCAAACTGTTCCCAAAGTAGCAAAATACTCTGCAAAAAAAACCCAATACATTTAGAGAAAAAAAATTATACCTACTTATGATAAAATATATTTTCACCCTTTTAAACATCCCTTTAAACAGAATAGAAACATTCCTAAGAGGTTCTAAGATTTATCAGACTATAAAGTTGTCAGTTAATAAAGCACAGGTAGTCTTTTCCTTGCTGACACCCTAACCTAGAGACAAGGGATTATCAAATGAGACTGCATACAAAAGACAAAGAATGCTATTGCTACCGTGAATCAAGTAAGACATCTCTAAGGATGAAAATAAATGGAAAAAATTAAGAATATAAACTTCTTTTCTAAATCCATCTTTCTTACTTCAACACTTTATTAACTACATTTCTAAACTTAACTTTTACAAAAAAAAAAAGTGCTATTATAGAACTACCACTTCCGGCTATCTATGTGAGGTGATGATATGTTAACTGGCTTGATTCTCACAATGTATATGAATAACAACATCAGGTGATACACCTTAAATATATACAATTTCTATTTGTCAATTCTACCCCAATAAAGCAGAAAAAAACCCTACCTAGGACTCACATTTTTACAATTCAAACTCTCATATTTTCATATACGTATGTGACTACATGGCCTGTGGAATATAAGTATGTATTTATATAGCCTCTGGTTGCCTGTATGATCTGCTTTGTCTAAGTTGTTGTTGAGGACCAGTGCCATACCTAAAGTATTCTTCACAAATGCTCATATACACTCTAGAGTAGTGTCATAATCTCAATTCTTAATTTATATTTGTCTATGATAATAAATTTAAATTACAATGAAATAATAAAAATAGAATTTTAAAAAGGCATTAATTGAAAAATGAGAATCTAACCTGATATTGACACTATTTTCCACAAATCCTGAATCAAAAATATTAAGTTGGTATAATTTTGCCCTTATTATAATCACTTCTAATTCAGTTCTTTCTCATTAGCCCTCCCTTCCTGGCATTATCCCCTTTCTAAATATCACTATCTGTGATATGGTCTCTTTCTAAAATCAATCATGTAAATTTAATATACCGAATTCACTCATCACCTACTGTACTAAAGAAATACTAGAGGTACAGAGAAGAATAAAGCACAGACTTTACTTTTCATTAATGAATTTTGCTATTTATTTAATAATGTGTTGAAACTTAAAGTATAATGTCCTTTACAGAGTCCCGGTATATATTTCATTTTCCTCTATAGCCAATGATGGTCACACACTCAGTACAAATTTTTATGTTTATACCTTTCTTAATTTTTATAAATCCACTGCACATAGGCATGTGGAAATCCTAGAATAATGTCTATACTATTGCTACAGAAGGGAAAAAAAGGCATAGAGGAATTCTAAAAGACAAAATTTATTTTTGTAATTGTTTTCAAAAACAAGATATCATTCTCTTTTATTCTAGATTTTGCTTTTTCATTGAGCTCAGATATTCAGTTGAATTATTTCATGTATAAAGTAGCAGAACTGGACCTAATGATCCTTGCCAACGAATGAATCTCAAATTCACTTTCACTCACTTAATGTTGAATACTTACTATGTGTTGGAAAATATGAAAGAAAGCTATTAAGTAGGAAATGAGAATCTCATCTGATATTAAACATACTGTGCTTGAATAAGCTAATAGGAAGCTGAAATTCAGGTAAATTACAATTAAATTCAACACTCAAAAGATTAATAGGTTATCTGATCTATCATTCTTTAAGTTCACACTTTAAAATGACACAGATTCCTCCCGGGTCCCAGGTTTCCATTTTGAAATGAGATATGTTCAATCATACATTTTTGAGTACTGAAAAGCAGAAACACTGAATGTCAATACTCACCTGTGTTATAACAATGAATACAGCAATGCCAGTGGATGCAGGAGTAGAATCCCACTGGAGAGGTCTGCTTTGAGACTTTTTCATTCTGACTATTGTCCAACCCATGCACAGACTCAGAAGTAGGTATAACATTTGAATTTGGGAAGCGATGTCAAAAACTAATGGAAATGAAAACCGAAGTCAACCAAGTTTTCATAATACAAAGAATGATCCTTTCTGAGTTGAGAATATATTTTTTAACCACACAAAGAAGGACATTTTCAAAGAGAAGCTGATGAAATTCAGTAGTAAGAGATAGTCATGAATCATAATATTAAAGAAGTAAAATTTTGCCATTAAATCTGTAAATTTATGAGAACAGTTAAAACAATGGCAACTCTTATTTTATATACACACACACACACACACACACACACGTATATACACATAAGCCCATTGCATATCTTTAAGATAAACTTCAAATTTCTTTGTGTTTCTAATTTTTCTTAGCTTTTCTACCTACATAATCCTGTTCTCTATATCTCACTGCTTATTAAAAAAAACAAATTTTAAACATAACTTCTACAATGTAAAGAATACTAATGCCTTCATTTCTCTGTTGATAATTTTTTTTGATGGCTGAACTACAATGTGAAGAGTATTTTCTAACACTATTACTAAGAAATAGCATGACAATAAAATGCATAGCTGCTGTAACATCCAACTAATTCTGTTGGCTTTTTAGAGTCCTGAAGACAAACGAATGAATACTCCATGCATTAGTGTGATGTGCCACCAGGTGGCCATCACTTACACTGCAGGGGAAGCCTGCTACTTGAAAAAGGATGCAACAAAATTGTAAGCATCAAGTTCACTGCTACAAGGAAACAATAACAATCGATAAATACTTCAAGTTCCATGCACATTTATTTTAGAAGCTAGTATTTACTGATTTAAAAAAAAAAATTATCATTTCTCATCATAGTGTATTTTGATGTAAATTCTGGAATAAACGTATGACCACAATTTCACAAAATAAAACTTTCTTCAAATTGCCATCCATAACTTTGATGTGTACAACTTTTACTTCTTTTATATAAAGATATTTTTAGAGAAACAGATCAAACTAGCTATAGTATAATATTTACATTTAAAAGTTACAAGCCAAAAATCTATTAATAATATACTTTTTCATAAAAAACTTTGACGTATTTTTCCTGTTCTGCCATTAAAATTATAACTGGATACTCTACATTTATACTTGTAACAGTGAATTCTGATAATGAACTGTCACTACATTTGAATGATATAAAATGTCATGGTCTTTCAGGTCAAGCACAATTTTCTTTCATCATAGATTTAAAAATGACAGTGATGCCAATTATTTGTATTAAACATTTCACAAATACATCTTCAATTACTTAAAGAAATTATACCCTAAAGAATATTCCTACATAAATTGCTAATTAGCAAAAACAAACACCTGTGGGAAAACACCTGCTTTTCTGGCTCATTTTTTTATATACTAAGTAACGCACATATCGATATAATACTGTAACTGTGAGAATAAGTAGAACTGCTTATTTGTTGTTTAAAAAAAACCCTAGTTGTAAATAAAATATATAGATCACACAAAAATCCCATTCTGTGAGATCTGATTAAAAATCTTGAAATTTAGGGCCAGCTGAGTGGCTCACTTGGTTAAGAGCTCACTCAAGGGTTTGAGCTCTGAGCAACAACGGTTCGATTCCTGGTCCAAGCTGAGCAGCCGCTGAGCTTCCAACAGGTAGCAGGATGGCTCAGCTTAAAAAAACAAACAAACAAACAAAAAAATCTTGACATTTTAATCATTTAACTAACCAAACTTGTCAGAGCTACCAAAATGAGCAGCATACATTTACTGTAGTTTTCTGAAAAAGACTTTTGCTTTTTAACCTACAGTGAAGATGCCAGACAAATACACTGTTTTATGCATAGCAGATACAAATATTCAAAAGTCCTTGAATTTAGTAATAGCTTTGCCACTGATGGGCTTTTGTGTGTTTTGCCTCTTTGGACTTCAATTTCCTCATCTAAAATGTATAAGCTAAATTACTTCTATTCTGTCCAGCTTTAAAATATTCTATGATTCTATTATATATCCTGAGTTATCTAAGAGAAAGGAGTGGGAGAAACCAGGGCTCTAGATAATGTTAAAAAAGGAGAAGCAATTCTTGTTCATGCTCATAGGTGAACGGTGCACATTCTCTTCACAAGGAAAATGAAAGGTTCTAAAAGTTTTAGAATCTTAAAATAGGCAGCTAGGTCAGGATAAGTGGGTTCTGAGATGATTACAGAGATTACCATAAGATACCCTTTTAAAAAGTGATGAGACTGGAAGAGAAATATGAAAATTTAAAGAAAAATAAATCCTAGAATGGTATCATATGCGTTTTTAGAGCGAATCTCAACTAGTTTTCCAGGAATGAAAATGGCATATGACCTGATGTCCCTATGAAGTTCTCTTTAAAAAGTCATGATTATAGAAACTTTTAAATATTATTTCCCATCATGCTTAACTCATAAGAGTTCATGTATATACTGGGGGTGCCAAAAAATGTATACAAGTGGTCAACGTTGCTCAAGCAGTAGTTCGCCATAATCAGAAGTGTCTGGATGCTGATGGTAACCACTATGAGCACCTTTTGGAATTGCAGATGTCAAACGTGAGTTGTATTCATCTTTTGTTATAGGTATATATTGAGTATTACAATTTTCATACAGTTTTCCTTTCTTAAAATGTGTATATGTTTTTTTGGCACTGTGTGTGTGTGTGTGTGTGGCTGTGAGGTCAGCTCAGTTATAGGTGTACTCTATGGCTCTGGGTCAGAACACAGAAAAAGAGTAAACAAGGGATGAAAATAGGAAAAAACCTTCAGCCTGGGGTCAGAAAACTTGGGTCTGAGTCTTGGTGCTACCACTCAATAGCTGACTCACATTTCAAAATTTGCTTCATGCTACTGAGCCCAGATTCTTTATCTGCAAAATACAGATAAGCAAACCTACTCTTCACTGAAGTTTTATTGAGGATAAAATAAGAGAATGCATATAAATATGCTCTAAAAGGATCTGCACACAATACCTATTATTAAGAAGAAACTAAAAGGATATATGGGAACTAAGTCTGTAGCCCTGTTTTCAATCATGCTAAATTCAAACCAACCTTGAATAGAAAAATTGTATTATGACAAAAAAAATTTACAGAAAAGGAAAACAAACAAGAAGCAGACAGCAGGTTTACATTTTAAAAAATAGCTCAGAAAGATACTCACATTCTGCCAAACTTCCCATAAAAGGTACTCCTATTCCATCTTTGGAGTAACTGAGGAATTGAAGAGGAGAGTATTAATGTAAATTATGAATGTGAAAAAAAAACTGTTCATATCAAATCAAGCATAATTTTGGTGAACTAATTAGGATTAATTAGATGTAATGATGAACACAGTTTTAGTGGTTGTGAGTTACCTGGAGAAATGAATGTAATTAGCTAAAGCTGAACCAGCTTGTAACAGCAATGCAGTTGTCAGAACCTTTAAAATCATGTGCATGGGTCCTCCTTTCTTAATAGCCTGCCACAATGATTGAGCATAAATGCAAGCAATCACAAAGTACACTAGGACTAGGAGGAAAAAGAACTCATGTAACCCTGTGAAGAGAAGAAAGGAGTTTGCTTCAGTAAAACAAGCCAGTTATAGTTTTGGGTTGCTTTCAAATCTTCCTGTCAATATATTTCTAGAACTTGTTTTTTTTAACTAGAGTCAAACCATTCATTCTCTTTTGTAAGAAAGAAAAAAAGAAAATAATTGAAACTTAAGAATTTTATACTTTTGGATAGTTTTAACTATAAGAAGGCAGATTAAACTAAACTAGTTAAAGTCAATCTATAAAAAAGCATAGTGGTCACCCGGGGAATAAGCCCAAAGACTAACCATAAGATCATAGTTTTGTTCAAAAACAGTAAATTAAACAATGATTTCAGCCTTGTTAGATATGCTTTTTAACTCCAAAGTGGATTTCTTTT